ATTTTATATTAAGAAAATAATAATTTTTTAATAATTATATTATATAATATATTAAATTAAAAATATATATATCAATTAATATTTTAAAATTAGAGAGAAATTGAGGAATAATCTTCCATCTTATTCTTAACTTAACCACGTGAAAGGAAGGGAGGAAAAGATAGCCCTCCTTCCATTTGTCTTGTATCAAACGAAACTTGCCCCACTCCTTCTGATAGAACTATATGAGGACTTGGGAGTACTTTTTTTTTCCTAATAAAATTTTTGGAGTAAAAGTAGTCGCTTTTTAAGAGAGGTATGGGTAATATTTTTTTTCAACCTTATTGTTGCTCATATTGTTTAAATTTAATGACTTGTATTTATTTTATCATTAAAGTATTTTTTATTTTTATTTTTTTAAAATATAAATAAAATATAAATTATTTAAAATGAAAAATAATTTTATTTTGATACAGATGAAATAACTTTTATTCTTTTTCTTTTTCAAAAAGAAATAAGTACATTTTAAAACCAAATGCCTCATTTTATTAATTTTTAATTTTTTGGCCGAAACCAAAGGAGACACCATTTTAATTGGTATAACTCACTCCTTCTTCTTCTTCTTCTTTTTCTTTTTTGCGCCACAAATTCCCCTCTTATGTACTTCAAGAGTGATTACTCTCTAAATGATTTTAATAATACATTCCCTAAATCTGTTTAATATATTTAAACAATTTAATTTTCTTAAATATTGATTTCAAAATTTAAACTTTAACTTGATTTACAAAAAACATTTATTTATCAAAAAATTCAACCATTGGGATTGCTACATATTTGATTTTCTCGTCTTCAGTAATGCCATCAAACACAGGAAAATACAATTGTATCATCATCATATATACTACGTACTTTGTATTTAGGTTGGCAAAAAAAGAAAAAAGAAAAAAGATCTTTCCCTTTATAATAAGTCAAAATAAAAATAAAAATAAAATGATAAATTTTAATGGAAACGGCAAAGGGATAAGAATGAATGAATATATGTACACTATGTCGGCCAATTTGTTTGTTTCTCTCTGAGTTTTAATCTGTTTTTTCAGTTCTGATAAGAATCGTATCTCTTTCGTGTCCATGTAATAACACCAAAATATTGATGTCGGCAGGATACTTCTCATCATTAGTTCTTTCCAATGTTGAAAGTCTCGAACTACAAAATTAATTAAGGGTTAAACAGTCGTCCCTGTACTTTTAATTTTTATTCATGTCCGTCCCTCTACTAAGGATTTGTTCATTGTCATCCCTCTACTCCACTAAAAGCACTAAATATCGTCCCTGTGCTCCAATTATTTTGTTTGTTGTCATCCTTTTTTTGATGGATTTGCCTTAGCCATCTATTTGAACCATTATTTAATCCACAAACGGACAACTATTTGAAGCATTTCTTGGATTTTTTTTGTTTTTCCATATGTGCTGCTAACTAGGAGGAGAGAAGCACCCCTTAATCAATGCCCAACTCCACTTCTTTTTTCAAATTCAAACATTTATGTTGTTATTTCCAATCTTATCTTTTATATTTAGTTGTTTCCATAATAATTCACATTTAGCCTAACCATCATGAACTAGTAATTTCTAGTTAGAGAGGTTAAGTATATTTAATATTACTATATAATGTATTAGTAGGTATACATATTGAATTAATAAATTGTGATGCTTTAATTTTTATATTAAGTAGAAGTGTAACTGTAAAAATTCATTACTACTAATAACTTAATGTTAAATTTTAGGGTCATAAAACTTAGCTTGAAAAGTTGTTAAAATTATTTTAATGTTTTTCTTTAATATGGTTTTAAAGAACATGTTAAGGATACATTTGTTATATATATATATATATTTTCACAATTTATACAGAAACTTACAAAAGTAAATTTTATTTTCAACATTAATCTCACATGAAATATTTAATTGGATAATTGATATAACTACAATTAGTTTTTATTTTTTTATACAAATTAATAATGAAAAGATGCACAAGTTAAAAAAATTTCCTTTTTTAATATAGGGTCTTTCTAATAGGGTGTATTAAAAATATTTTTTTATCATAAATTTGTATTTAAAAAACAAAAATTGACGTCTAATTTATTAGCTATCAAATTAAATTTATCTACTTGACACACATACTAAAATTAATGTTAGTTTTTGTATTTTTTTTATATGCATTTATGATAAGAAGGTTGGTTAGACAAACCTTTTAATATATGCTTTAAGGTAACAATTAAGAGTGTAATTAATGTGCTTTTTAACTATTAAGTTACATAGAAAAATAAATACTATTAACTTTAATTTTAAAAACTAATTAATTAAATTAATACACATAATATTAGTGTTAAAATTGATAATAACTTTTTTAATCTTTCGTATTAAGTGACTAATAAATGTATTAATTACACCTTAGGCAAAGTTTGAAAAAATTATATTTTAATAATCACCTAAAATCACTGATTTAATATAAAAATATTTACTTGTACCTTAAGGATGCATTTATTATATATTTTCTTTATTAATTTATATGAAAAAATTATAAAAGTAAATTTTATTTTTAACATTTTAAAATATTTTTATGTATATGACTTATTTATTGCAATGCAAACACAAGACACAAAACATAAAGCGTCACTTGTGTTGGATTAAGCAAAATCTCATTTGGAAATAAACATGCATATGTTCACTGCCTAGTACCCAACCCCCTTCTTCTCTCCTCCCAGTTGGCACCACACTTGGAAAAATAAAATTTCAAGAAATGCTCCAACAGTTGACCGTTTGTGGATTAAATGGTCCAAATAGACGGCTAAAGCAACACCGTCAGTAAAAAGATGACAATGAACAAAATAAGGGGATATAGGGACGACATTTAGTGCTCTTGGGAAAGTAGAGAGATGACAATGAACAAATTCTTAGTAGAGGGACAAACATGAATAAAAATTAAAAGTTGAGAGACTACACTTGGCTTTAACCCAATTAATTAATGTCCTTGAAATATGATCTTGTCTGGTATCCTTCTTTTTACTTGGTGAAATGGAAGCAATGAAGAGATAGACATGACTACAGGAGCCTAATGCGTGCCTTAAAACTTTCACCGTGCATGACCATGCCCCTTGTTAAATGTTGAATTGAAAAGAAATTTGTAAATTTAAATATATAATATAGGTCCATTAATTTATTGTCAATTAATTAATTTTAAGTTTCTTGTTTAATTCTGGTGACATAACAGTTGAAAAAGCCTTTAAAATAACTAGTTAATTTATTACTGTAATAAAAAGGCACTTCTTTACTCATATATAATTAGGATTCAAATCCTTATTCGTCTCTCTGAGCTCTCTCGTGGAAAAAAAAAGGCTCAAATCCACTTTTGTTTGCCACTTGACAGATCTAACATTTCTAATAGATAAGCACCAAGGAAGAGATGTATTAGTGAAGTAAATCTTACATTGATCGATTAAGAAGAGAAATGTAGATAAAATGGATTTAA